CAAACAATGGAGGCAAAGGGGAACCCATCAAGGAACCTGTCCTGCTCCTGCTCCTACGAATTGTGGCGGGGAGCAGCCGGGCAGGAGCATTGAGTGGTTGGTCCAGTAGGTGGAGGAGAATGCAAGCATTCCTCCCCGGCCGCGGGTGATTCGGACGGGTGGTGGTGGTTAGGGCGTCGCCTAGCACAGTGAAACCGCACTAATCAGGCCAAATCTGGCACCGACTGGCAGCTACTCGCGCCGATGTTGACCCGTCCTGCTTCCCTAGGACGCTCCTGGAGACATATTCTATCGCCCCACCGACGGAGAAACCCACGCCGCGCCGGGATCACATGGCAATTTGGCTCAACTACCCAGGGGCCAGGGCCTAGTTAAGCTAGAATGCGAGATCGCGCCGCTGACGGAAGGAAATTAACTAGCAGCGACCTGCCGGCCTGTACTGTGTCTGTACGTAAATATGTAATGCTCAGGCGACAGGGACAGGGAAGGGGGTAAATAATGGCGGGGGGTTTACCGAGCCTACAGGAAGACGCTCGCCGCGGAAGGGGCGTCCGCCGGCACGGAGCAGGGTCCGGCCTCGGCGGCCGCCATGGCTGGCGGAGTGGCAGTGGCTGCGCTGGGGAGTTCGCCTGTGTTGCGAGGCAGAATCGGAGGCCACGAGAGGAGCGAGGTGGTTTCGCGACTCGCGAGAGCAGCGGCAGTGAACTGGACTGGCGGCCACCGCGGAACGGAACGGAACGGCAGCACGGCACCACCTCCACTCCACCTTCACCAATCCACGATCTGGCTGGCCGTTTCGGGGGGTTATCGTGGACGACGGTTGCTTTCCTTTTTGCCCCCTCCCTCCCTCCTTTTCTCTTTGTTTTTCACACACGGGAATGGACCCAACCCGCTAGAGGGGTTGGAGACCGCGGATTCCTTCCTTTGTCCCCACACCCTTTTGCCTGTCTTTTTCTTTTTAATTTTTACTTTCTCTGTGCCTCCATTTTTACACGAAGGCCCTCCCCATCTTTGGCTCTTTTTTTTGGAGAACCCATCTTTGGCTCTTTGCGCAGCCTTACAGCCTTGAAAAGCACTGCTACCGGATTAGATTAGATAATTTAACCTTGTTTTATAATGGCATAGGATGCACGACTGTTACAAGACTCGGGAGAAAAGGGTGAAGATTCATCTCGATGTGACGGGGCAGGGAGCTACTACAATGCCTTGGTGCCAACGCAAGCAAACGTCGATCCTATTGATTGTCGGGGCTTTTCCCAAAGCTTACTTAACTTCTACTAGAAGAACGCCCGTGCGTTGCAACGGGGCCACATTAACTTTAAGAGTTCAATATTAATCATGTTAATAATACATTTAATATTCTCATACATATCAAGTGACACTGGCGACCTTTTTTGTCAATTTAGCAACGGGCTCGGTTGCAACGGGCTCTTTATACATATCAGACAACTCGCTACTACTTAAACTACAACTATGGCTACCAATATTTTTTTGTCAATTTAGCTCAGCAATAGTGCCTGGCTTAATAGACTGCTTTGCATTCACCCCCTCAGAAGACAGAGAGAACCAACTCAACATGTCAGAAGATTAACAGAAATTTCATTTGTATGGCATGAACATATAGCGGGAGCACCAACACATAGATCAGCAGAGAGCAGAGCACAGCATGCACATACTCGGGCCATCTATATCATACACACACAGCAACGCACACACGCATCACGCTGGCATACACATACAGAAAAGTAGGCACACACGCATCATGCGCATTGGCCGGTGCGACGCACGCAAAGCAAGTACGTACGCACGGAGAGCAAGCTAGCAAGCACGCACGCGTCCAACCCCGCCGCTGCATGTGCTGGCAGAGGGTGAGGCAGCAAGGGAGACTGCACATTGAAGCTGTCCATGCAACGCTGGAGGTGTTGGGCCGGCGACGGCGGTGTCGGGACGGCGCTTGATTCGTTCCCGGTGGCGTGGAGCTTGGGGCGGCAACGCGGCGATAGCTAGTGCTCGGGGATGGGGGTTTGGGGCGGGGGCAGTCGACCCGATGGCTGGCGAAGTTAACGGGCTCGGGCAGCTGGAAATTCGGCGGGTGGCGGCGGCACAGTGCGAGGATGGGACAGGCGGAAAACCTAGCGGGCGTTCAACTACCAATACCCACGCCTTTTTTTAGGAGAATTGCTTATGAAAATAACGTGCGACAACGACTTAGCGAGCGGATCCCCTTAAAAAAGACATAGCGAGCAGGTTCCCTTAAAACTGGTAGGAATGGATACGATTGATGACGTTGATAAATAGTGGTGAATGTTAGCCTAATTTACTATCATCATGCATGAAAACGAATCATCAAGAAAAAGAATACTTCCTATTACTACACTCATAGGAAGCTTCCTAATCTCTGCTACCAAACAGTTTCTGCCCAAACAAGGAAGGAAAGTTATGGACGTGATTCGGAAGGAAACAAACGTTATGAAGATTAATTAATTTAGATTTGATCTTTAGAGATTGATTGTGATTGATTCTTTTACATAAAGACATTACTAAATAATTTGCGTCAGTATGGAAACGGATCATCAACAAAAAGAATACTTCCTATTACTACACTCATAGGAAGCTTCCTAATCTCTGCTACCAAACAGTTTCTGCCCAAATAAGGAAGGAAAGTTATGGACGTGATTCGGAAGGAAACAAACGTTATGAAGATTAATTAATTTAGATTTGATCTTTAGAGATTGATTGTGATTGATTCTTTTACATAAAGACATTACTAAATAATTTGCGTCAGTATGGAAAGTTCTGATCCGTTCAGTTTTTTTCGTTGTGTGAGAGGGTGAAGTTAAAATAAATCGATGAAGTGAGGGAGGCGACGAAAAAAATCTACGACGGTTAACCTACGAAAAAAACCGGACGAAAGTGGTGGGACGAAAAAAAACCTGGAAGCGAGACTACCAACTGCTTCATTAGGAGTAGAGATACTCGATCGGTCCATAGGGCAGTGAGTGAGTGAGTGCCGCTTGTTTAGCCATGCAATGCAATCACTTGTGTCTGCCTCACTCATTCAGATGACCTCTTTGTCTTGCCGGCCTAGCTGCTATGCACTCACGGTAATGCGGCACCGGCGAACCACGGTAGCGAAAACTGTACAGATCCACTGCTGTGAATCATTTTGCCCCTGGTTGTTTCAGAGAGGATCGGCCTGCGTGTCTTTTCCCTTCTGGTAGCAAAATGAGTGATACGTTGAGTGGTCGCGTCCACCTTCTGGCGTGTCAGTCACTGCGCCGTGTAAAGTTGCACTCACCGCTGGCCAAATGCCTTTACCGATGAGGAGGATGATGGTCCTGTCCCCAGAGGACGAGACCCGGTCGTCGTGCTGTACTGGTAGCGCTAGGTAACAGTTGGCACCACTGGCATTCTGACAACTTGAAGTTTCGGAAGAAGAAAAACTGATAATGCCATTCTCTAACTACGTATCTGCTCTGCGTACAGAAAACTGCTTCCCTAGGCGGCCAGTGTGACAGTGGGTGTTGGAGGAGATTAACCAATGGATGTGTGCGTTCTTCTGGGCGGGCAAAGATAAGGTGCACGGAGGGCAGTGCCTGGTGGCTTGAAGCACGATATGCAGACCTACTTACTTGGGCGGTCTGGGGATGAGGGATCTAAAGCTTCAAGGACTTGCTCTTAGGGTGAGATGGGAGTGGCTGAAGAGGACGGATCCTACGAGGCCATGGCAGGGGCTTGCCATGTTGGAGGATAAAGACGCGAGAGAGGCCTTTGACAGCATGCTTAAGATTGAGGTTGGAGATGGTACTAAGGTGCTGTTCTGGAGAGATAGATGGATTCATGGTTTTGCTGTGGTGGATATTGCACCTTTGCTTCACATGATGGTGGATACCCGTACCAGGAACCGACGTACGGTGAGGGATGCCCTCGAGCAGGGAAGGTGGCTGCAGGATATGAATGGAGAGCTTACCTTCACAGGCCACATGCAACTACTTCACCTTAACCTAGCTATCAGCACTGTGCCTCGGGATCCGGAGAGGTCCGATTGCTTCTCTTGGCCGGCGGACCCGTCAGGGCAGTATACCGCTAGATCCACATATCATCGTTTGTGCCAAGGGAACCAGCGGGTTGGCTTTGCCTCTTGCATCTGGAAGAGTTGGGCGCTGCTTAAGTGCAAAATATTTGTTTGGTTGGCGATACAGCATCGCATTTGGACCTCGGACAGGAGGGCTAAGCACGGGTTGCAAGAGCGCTCTTCTAGCTGCTTCATCTGTTTGCAGGCGGAGGACAAAGTGGAGCACATTTTGATCCAATGCGTCTTCGCTCGGGAAGTGTGGCACGAATGCCTACAAGAGCTCAACTTGAACGCGGTTCGGCCGACGACGGAGGATACTTTGCTAGATTGGTGGCTGCAGGCTAGGATGGGTTTCAGGAAAGAACACAAGCGTGGGTTCGACACTTTGGTGATTGCAGTCACCTGGGCTTTGTGGAAGCAGCGCAATGCTCGGGTCTTCAATAGAACGGCACAACAAAAAGCACCTTCTCAGGTGGTTAATGCGGTCCTGCGGGAGATTAAAGAGTGGAGGGAGGCCGGTCTAGGAGTTGGTGGGTTGTCTAGATTTGTTAGAGAGTAGGCTTGGTTCTTGAGTGGGGTGTTCTAGGGTGTGGCCAGAGGTATGTTGTTCGCATCCTTCTCTTGGCATCTCTTGTAATCATTATTGCTCTTCTTCTATAAAGTTAAGTTATGCTATTGGCGTACTCTCAAAAAAAAAAAACAGTGTGACCACTGAGTAGCAATGCTGTGTGACATTAAATATAAATTCCAAAACATTCCTAACACGAAACTGTCAAATGGCTCTCACAAAACCTCATCGTCATTCGGCTTCACTCTGACAGCACCCAAGGTGTCTACCATTTGACGCTACATCAGTCGCATAATTATCCCGTCAAAATAAGAAACATCAGTCGCATAATTACGCGCTCCCAAGCACCGTGACCAGTCAGGAGGTCGAGGCGATCTCCGCCACGTCTCCGGCGGCCACGCACGAGATCGGGCCTTCTGACTCGTGCACCACCACCATCGCGCCGGAGCCGCGGCTCTGCTCGGCGTTGCCTCCCTCCTGCTCCTGGGCCGACGACAGCAGCTTCCGCAGGGACTCGTCGGCCAGGTCCTCCATGCCGAAGAGGACGTGCTTGTGCTGCTCCAGGTGGCCGGGCTTGCACACGTAGTCCACCAGATAGCTCGGGCTCACGCACGGGATGCCGTGGCTCTTGAACTCCTGCACCCACGCGTTGCTGCTCGGCGTGCCCGCGGCCACCACCGCGAAGCTGATCGCGCCCAGCTTCAGGAACCGCGTGTAGGGCGGGGCGGTGGCCAGGACCGTGCCGTCACCTGCTCGCACCGCGCGCCTCAGGGTGTCCTGCATGTTTGTTAAGACAGGGGGAGCACACCGGCTTACAGATCAACAGTGGTTACACAGACACGCGGAGAAAAAGCAGTATCAAATGTTCTCATTACATACCCGTGATGGGGAAATGCACTCTCCATATATGAGGATCCGCATCCCGTGGAAGGCGCCATGGCCGGTGCGCTGCTTCAGGTGCCGCCATTTCCTTGGAGCGTCCAGGCTGATTGTCTGGTTGTCGTTAAGGCCATAACCGTGCCACTCAAATGATTCTGCATCCACTAGCTTGCCAGCCTCATCGCAAGCAAACAAGTACTCAGGCTTCAGTATCCACCTGTTTTTATTTTCCGAAAACCAGCAAACATTCATTCAGGTTGGCGTTCCACGTGTGGTGTGGAAACAACAAGTCTAACTAATTCTGGATGGTAAATATTACTACAGTCTACTACTACTGGAGTGCGTGAAAGATTTACCTCCCCGCTGCAGCAGCTGCAAAGAATTTTTCAGTTCTGCGGAGCTCAGGGGTGATAAAATGTGTCGCTTGGAAAAACCAATGGTGTGAATGACTGCAAACTCTTCCCTTCAGGCGCAGAAGTATCGACCTGCACTGCTTCCTCAAGAGGCGATGCCCACTTAAAATGAACCATGTAGGTTCTGGTTCCCACACGGCCGAGGATCCATCATGATTTCCCCCTGTCATGCTGCAGTCATCGATCACATATTCGTTGTTCTCTACTGCTATTTTGACACATTCAGAAATCGCACGCTTTTTTCCACGTTTTGATTTAGGAGCAAGACGAGTATTGGCTGCTATGTTTTCCTTGTTATGGTCAGTTTTCTGTCTCTTTCTGCTTCTAGGTTTAGAGCTTTGCAAATCTTCTGGCCTATCTTCCCAGGCTTCATCAGCATTATGGAGGCCCTTGTACACTGTCACCATGCCAGCATTTGTGGAACTCTCTGCAGGCAACTTTGATGCTTCAGATAAGACACTAACTGTTCTGCAAGCCTCACTGCCAGATCTCCCTTTCTGGAAAGAAGATGCTCCCCTCCTCTTGGCAACTACCTTGCGCCGGGGCTTCAGGACACTAAGAGGAATGGGGCTACATGTTTCAGGGTTGTCTGCACTTGCACTGCTTGAAACCTTTGAAGTGGAACTTTCTGCGTTTACCGCCTCATGAAAACTCAAGTCGAAAGATACTCTTTTGGTTTTACCAGCGGTTGGGCATGCGCCGGTTGTAGGGTTTTCCTCCATATTCATATTAGCAGGCTTCGTCTTGCAAACCACTATCGCATCATTCATCTCACTGTTGGAACTGAGTGGGCTCTTAGCAACTGCGTTCCTTGCTCTGCTCAAGATTTCTTCAGGCACAAATGTTGTGCTTTCAGCAGCACTCACGCTACAGGTCTTTTCAAGATCTGCTTCGGCACTGCCACTGGAAAGAACTTTACCATGCTTGGACTTGGAAGCAGCAAAGTCACAGCTACTATCTACAGATACAAAAGCCGTTTCATCCTCAGGAGTCCGCGACCTCTTGGCAGCAGGATTTCTCACACTAGAAGTTGATACTTTCTGAGGAAATACTCCATATTCACCAGGGACTGCAGTAATTGGGATCTCCTTAGGGCCTGCTTGGAAGGTTGCACGAGAAACCAACTTGTCATGTTCTGAGTCTGCAGCTACAACTTCAACTCTATCAGCTTGTGATGCATGTGCATAGGCATCAGGATCTGAAATTGTCACAACATTTGTGTTTGGAGTGCTTAGTCTGTCAGCTCTGACATCAAGTGGCCTTTTACTTACATCTTCGACTTCCCTAACCTGCTGTGAAGTCTCCAAGCGTCTTCCTGCAGGAACCACTGCATCTGCATTGCCAGTGAAGACAGTAGGACTGTGGATGGGTGCATGGGCATCAGGATCAGCAGAGATTGTCACAGAATTTGTGCTAGGAGTGCTCAGTATGTCAGCCATGACGTCAAGTGACCTTTCAGTTGCATCTTCCACTTCCTTAATCTGTTGCGAAGTTGATGCTTCCTGGGGAAATAATCCAAATTCACCAGGGACTGCAGTAACTGGGATCTCCTTAGGGCCTGCTTCAAAGGTTTTATGAGAAACCAACTTGTCATGTTCTGAGTCTGCAGCTACAACTTCAACTTTATCAACTTGTGGTGCATGTGCACGGGCATCAGTATCAGCAGAAATTGTCACAACATTTGTGTTTGGAGTGCTCAGTGTGTCAGCCATGACATCAACTGACCATTCACTTGCATCTTTCACCTCCCTAATCTGTTGCAAAGCACCCATGTGTGTTCCTGTAGGAACCTCTGCATTGCCAGATAAGACAGAAGGACCATGAATGGGCATGTGACCATAAAGACCAGGAGGAGTTCTCGTTGCAATCTCCGTAGCAAGGATGCTTCTGGCAACGCCTCTGCTATCAGACGAGCCTTTATCAGCACTTTGTGATTCATCTTCGGAATCTTTAGCTTCTGCCTCCATTATCTCCAATTCCCAACCACTGAATATATGAATACACAAAATCAGATTTGATGCATTACATATTACATATTTACATAAACTGTAATGAGCAATGAACCAACCAGATCTGATGCATTACATATTACGTATTTACATAAACTGTAATGAGCAATCAACCAGGCATCATGAACATGATACTGGGGTTGACTCGCTTGAGAAAAGGGTAATGAGGTTGAACTATACACCCAAAAGCTAAAAGGTAATATCAAATGCAAGGTGGTAGATAATTGTACCTTCTGGCAGTATAATTATCAACCGGAAGAATGTCCCATGCCTTTAAGCTGCAGCAAAAACATATACAACATTTCAGCAAATAAAATAACGAGAAGATGCAATAGCATTTAGGTACAGTGATTAAATACATACCAATCTTCCAACCACTGGTGATTAATAATATTAATCTTCACCATTTTAGCAAGCTCATACTTCTCACCTGGCACAGTTTGAAAAAAGTAGTGAATGACGTTGATGGTATGAAATAGTAGTGGAACAAACTGAATGCAGGAGCACAAGGAAAAAACAGGATCCTAATTTTCAATAGACTGGTCAGAGGCATGATATGATATGCATTATTGAAATCATATCTTAGACAGGCACAAGGCTAACCCAAACTAAAGACAAAGGGAAATCAAAATCCTGAACTGTCTGTGCATTTAACTATTCAATATCTCAGAAACATCACTATGTTGATCCCTCTATACAGAAATGGAGATAGCTGCTAATATTCTGACTTATAAGCAATTCAAATTTCTGTAACAGAAAACAACAAGATCAAATAAAAAGGTTATCAGAATGGAATATATGCTAATACAACGTTAACAAAAAGATGAACACTAACAATACCACAAGTTCAGTCAGTGCAATGCAAACTATTAAGTACTTGTATGCAAAACTGTTAAGGAAAGAACATGCCTTCGAATTGGTAGCAGATGAGATGGGTGACCCTTTTCGCTGTCAAAGGCTTGGAGAACCGCGCTCCCATCATATTAACCATTTTCTACATTTGACAATGAAATGAGCAGTGAAGAGATTTGTGATGAGAAGTTGAGGACAAAATAAAATGAAGTCTTCAGATTGATTATGAGATGAAGATGAACTATATTTGTACAGCAAAGGATTCAAAATGTATTAAACAACTGCTGCATGTGGATCAACTTGCATATCTACTGACTGAGTCTATGCCACTAGCAGAAACATTAACTTGAAACATGCTTTGTGTTAGTATGATTTAGCAGTACAACTAATCACACAGCAAAAGAAGTGGATAAGTGGTGAAATCATAGCCACAAGCTCTCCAAGCAAGGGGAAAAAACTTCAGCACACCTAAAAGTAATACCGGTCCACTGTCAACCAAAAACAGTCACAGCAAATGACCCAATCAGAACAAGCCTCGTTCGTATTCACTGTATAGTGCATCTTATGGCTGCATCTAGCAACAGTCAGTCTTGGACCTCTACACTAGGAAGCCTCATAACTGAACTGATAGTGAGCATTACCATTATGGCTTCACGCCCGTTCTGTCTTTGGTAGCCCGTCAAGCAAATGCAGAGAGATTCAGCACCCGGTATGCCTTCCAAATCTATCACTGGCCTGTACAGTACCTGTGAGATCGAAAAACTCGCCAAGCTAATCAGCAGAGGAGTCCTTGTACAGGGTGGGAAAAGCATGACTCGCTAAGCTTGCTGAAAATAAGACGGAAACTGGTAAACGAGAACCGACATGATCGGCGTCAGCCATGGCTCCGAGATCCAAGCAGTCGTCCACCCACAGCCCAGTCACGACCTTCGTCCCGTGCTCCCGCGCCGCCACGCACACCGGGTCATCCTGCATTTCGGATCGGGTTTGGTTTTAAACACAAAACAGTGAAGCACGGAGGAAGGGATTCGAATTCCAAGTCCAGCACAACTCACGTAGACGAGTCCGCTGACGATTAGGTGGGTGCATCCCTCCTGCGCGCCCCCCGCGTCGGCGCCGCCGTGCCGTACCATCTCCGACCGGTACTGCCGAGCCAGCATCCAAGCGCGCGTGACGAGAAGGAGACGGGGCCAAGCCAAATCGATCGAACCGAGACGGAATCGAAACGAATAGGGGAGGAGATGGCGGAACCTGCGCGTCGGAGACGGGATCGAAGCCGAGGAGGACGAAGCGGACGCCGGCGAAGAGGGGCATGGCGGCGAGGGGTTTGGTCGGACCGGAGGGAGAGCCTTCGGGGAGCGGTGATTGGGTTTTGGGGTAGGGGGAGGAAGGAATGGGGGTAGTTCGACTCCACCGCTAAAATTGCTTGCCTTTGCACTGGAGTGCCCCACTTGGCACTGACGAACGACATTTGAAATTTGAAATTTGAAAACATATGGTGCCCTCGAGAATCGGGATCACAGGCTCAAGGCATTTTTATCTTTATTTTTTTTAAATAGGGTGAAAGTGTAGTGTCTTTCTTTTTTTTTTAAATGAAAGGGGTTTTCCCCCTGCCCCAACTTTTATTGAAGCCAAGACAACGCATCCATACAATTTAGAAGTTTTCGGTGCAAGCTAAAAGCAGCTAAATAAGAGGCTTACAAGTTTCATCTACAGGATACATGCACATAAGGATACACTTGATAAGATGATCACAGATAGAACACAAAATAAGCAGACCAAGGCCCCATGTACTTTGGACCATCTAGACCAAAACGATTCTAAGCAACTTCCCTCGCCGATGATCGAGTGTCCTTAAGCATCGAAGAAGCAGAGCACCCTGCACGCCCGAACAGGGAATTTTCCATTGCCTTATTAGCGAGCCCATCAAGTCCAGGATACAACACATACTTCATCGTTTTCGCCCCTGGAAAACAAAGTCATTTCGCATCAACCATAAGCCCCACAAGGTGGCAAAAATAACCAAGTTAACAGCTTCATTTTTCTTTTTATGATTCCACAAAGGTTTTAAAGATTCAAAAGAATCGGGAACTGGAATGCAAAAACAGTCAGCAACAATAGACCAGATCTCTCTTGCCACAGTGCAATCAAAGAATAAATGTTGGGTAGTTTCAAGCTCAGTGCAGAACACACAAGAAGCATTATCTACATGCCTTCTTTTGGCTAAATTATCTCTAGTCAAACTTTTGTTATTAAAAATGAGCCAAAAGAATACATGTATATTCGGGGGAACTTTAATTTCCCAAATGGAATCCCTAATATCAGAAGGCACACCTCCAAAATTAATCATTTTATAAAAAGGACTTAACAGTGAACTTGCCAGAAGGCTCCAACATCAGACAGGGTGATCACTACCAGCAGATGGAACAAACGTTTTAACAAAATCAATCAGGTGGAGCCACCTATTCATAGTTGATTCATTGACACACCTCCCAAACATGTGCAACTGCACCATCTTGTTGTTGGCAAATTTCAAACAGATCCCAAAACAAGGTCTTAAGGGATCGATCCCCAATCCAAATATCATGCTAGAAAGCCACATTTTGTCCATTACCAGGTATCCACTTATAGAAATTCTTAGCAGACACAAAAGCCTAGGAAATACTCTTCCAAAAAGGTGAGTCATCCCAGGTTTAGCCCAAAGAATGTTAAGTTTATCAACAACATATTTAAAACAAATTTCTTCCTATCACTATTCCTATCATCGTACATTCTTTTACTCCGTGAAGCAAGCAGAGTTATATTGAAATCCATAAGGTTAGGGACCCTCATGCCCCCAATTCTTTCTTCCTAGAAATAAGCCTTCAGTTGGCCAGATCGTATTTATGCTCATCACCTGCATTGCCCCAGAAGAAGTGTGCCATTTGAGAGGTAATAGCCTCAATAGCCTATTTAGAGCATCTCCAATAGACGGTCCAAATGTAAAAATACAAATACATAACTTTTGGACCGTCTGGGGCAAAAACGTTGCTCCAACAGACGGTCCATATGCAAAAAAAATTGGACCGTGGCCTCCTCGTGATGTAAAATACAACACCTCGCGATGCAAATATACATCACGAGAAGCATCTGGTCCAGAACTAGCCGCCGCCCGCGAGCGCCAACCGCCACTTCATTTCCTTTCCCGCCCGCCCGCGCCCGCCCGCCCGCCCGTGCCCGTCCGCCCGCCCGCGACCCTCTCGGCCGCCGCCGCCCCCCGCCGTCC